AGCTCTTGTGAAGCTTTAAACAGAAAATCCAACTTATTACATTACATTTCATTATACTATAGGTAGCAAAATAATTAGCTGGTTAAGGTGCCTTATAGTTTAGCTTTTGTAAGCGCTGTACCACTCTGGATTTGAAATGAACAGAATGCCATTCTCCCTGAATGTCAAGGTTGTCTGGTTATTAATATACTCATGGTAAAATGTACACTTATGACTGCAAGAGTTGGCATCCATAACTTCAGGATATAGTTTGTGCCATGTTCAATGCCATGAAAGGGGGAGGGGGGGGATGACAGGACAGTAAGAGGAAAATCTGTTTCTGAGCCATGACTTTTTTTTTTTTTTAATATATACTAAATTTGTATGACTTCAGTGGGGGTTTTTTACTTTGGCTCAGTTGGTCAAAAACTGATCCCAACCAGCAACAAATGAAGACAAGGGGAAGTTCAAGTGTCCAGCATCTCTGCAAAAATCTCTTCCTACAAGTATAGTGAACATAAGTTAAATAGGGTTTCTGATATACTGATTATGAAACCTCTTGCCTCAAATAACAATACAAATAATCAGGTTTAAAGGAAGCGTAAGAACAAGAATGTCGCCCTTCTGTTTCACTTGTTGGGGTTAATGCTTCAAAAGATGTATTTTTAATGGAAAAGATGAGAATTCCAACAGTTATATTACAGCCAGAGACAGCCATAGCATGGTGTGGGGCCTGGGTCAAATCAACCTATGCAGGGTCCAGACACGGCGATGGGGGAGTGTTGAGCAGACAGACACGAAGTTGGCCCAGGTCCACAGGGCCCCAGGCAGTTGCCCCAATTTGTGCCCCCTTAGGGACAGCCCTGACTACAGCCATGGACAATGTAGACTTTGCAAGTGGAAGCTGGTGATCAGATGACTGTGTAAGTGCTTTACTGACTTCAGTAGGCAAAAGTAGGACCCAGAGTTACCCTGTAGGGGTGTGCAAAGCGGGGTGTATTCGATTCGGATTTGGCCCCATACGGGGACAGCAATTCAATTCAATGATTCGGATCGCTGTCCCGATTCAATTCAGACGAATCTAAATCTGAAGATTTGATGCTAATTCAGAGAATCAGTGATTCTGCCACAGACACAGCTTTACATGTTTTTTCTATGTACCTCGAGGTACCAGACGTGGCTCATGAACACTGCAATGGTGGGGTGGATGGACCATCCCACAAGAGCACAGGGGCCACCCCCCACGTGCTCAGCTGCAAACCCAGAAGTGGACCACTTCTGGGTCTGCCGTTGAACGTGCGGGGAGGGGGGGCACACCCTCTCAGCTCGGTGATCAGCTGTGGGGGACCCTGGGTGCCCCACCCCGATCCAAGAGGCACCAGTTGCTGAGCGGGGGGGGGGGCATGCGCTCCCCAGAAGTGGACTGGAAGTGCTTCTGGTCCACTTGCAGGTCTACTGCCGAGTGTGCTGAGGACCACCCCCACACACACACACACTCCTATGGGACGCTCCATCCGCCCCATCATCTCGGTGTTCACAACCTGCCTGGTACCTTGAATCATGTAGAAAAACATTTAAAGCTGTGTCTATGTCCGAATAGTCAAATCTTTCCGAACTGATTCGGAGGGTTCCGATTTGACTCTGAGAGATTATAGGGTCTCCTGATTCAATTCGGATTCGGAGATTCAGCTGCCAAATCGAATCCGCTACCAAAGCTTCACGCAGCCCTACCACACTGCACCTGATTTAGACTACGTTGGGGCTGGGAATTATGACTCTTATACCACCAAAGGCCCTAATGGAGGCACTTAACTAGGCAATTATAGAAAAAGCAGTGCTTTTGGCAGGATGAGTCTGGGTCTGCTGGCCACGATGGCCAAATTGGCAAATGTGTTCTGCACTCTTCATGATATTCTTTTTTTAAATACAAACTTCCCTAGTGGAGTCAGCTCCCAGCAGCAAAAGTTACTTTGCCAACATAGCTTAAAATTGATCAAGCAAAGAACATTGCTGATATAGCTGCAACTACCTCATAGCTGTGCTGGTGGGGGCAGCTGAAGCATTGTGCCCTGACCAAAACAGTTAGGTGGCAAACGCTAAGCATAAGCCAGGCCTTGCTGTATGCATTAAAGTTACCTGACCAATATTAAGCAGGATGTTAAGATCTAAATACTTGCTATTGCAAGTGTTATGCACTGTCATCTTTAACCTAAAGGAGAACTATGTTACTCATACCCATCTACCAGAACTGCCTTTTATGAAGTATGTGAAATGTTGAACAGTACCTGCCCTTCCTTTATACCCAATATGGCAAATCCACCTTTCACTGCAGGGTGGGTGAAAATACTGTGGAAGTACAAGCTTTGACCTGTTAAGACTACTTACATTACAGGACTACAAAATGCAGATACAGAAGTGACAGAACCAAACAGCCAGGTCTTGAACAAACAGAAATACTTCTCAGAGCTTGATAAAAGCATCTAATTCCCTTCTGACTCAACTTGATTCCTGAATAGGCTACAGGCCATATCCCAACAATGGCTCTTACTCTCAGCTCTCCACTGGAGGCAATAGTTTGCAACTTGGAGGTCATTCTGCACCAACTTGATGTTGGATGTCTTTCTAGCACTGCCAAAAATTCAAGCCAGCATTTGAAATATTTGGCACAGCCCATGGGCAAATACATTGTTAAATAGAGTTCTTAGACCAAATATTTTATACAATACATAATTAGCTCAACTTCTGCAGTCTCAATTGCTTTATTCAGTATAATAAGTCATGAACATCGATAGTGCCCAAAAACAGTTTGCTAGAGGGCAAAGAATGTTTTTTCTATCAATCTGACACTTTCTCTAGTCTATGAAATACTCAAGATTTCAAAATCTAGTGTGCACATGCACATACCCCTCCCTCCTTTCCCAGTGTCCTAGAAGTGTTTGGGTCAAAATAAAACCAGTACCTCACTTCAACCCTGACACTAACAAAATGCCCTGACAGCTGCTAATCTTCTGTCATATAAACAGAATAAGTTTAAAATGGTTTCCCTGAAATACAATATTCTCCCTGCCTACAAAAGCCCCAGCTGGAATCTGCTGTAAATCCCATGCTGAATGTGACAACAGTATATCCTAGCTGACATTTAATCCATCTGAATAGGAAACTTCCTTGACACATGAATTATTTTAAGCTGAATTTATGTTTAGTCCTTAAAATAGCTCCAGTGCTTGCCTATGAAGCAGGATTAAAAAAAAAAAAAGGAAAGCCATTTAAAAACATTACATAAAGCACCTGAACACTCCTTTAGCCTAATATTTAGCATTAAAGCACTCATTTGGAGCCTCTATTATTTGCATATCTTCCAGCAACACTCTGGACTAACCTTGCAAAATAATCAACCATCAAATTTCAAGTTAATCTTATAGTAAATTAATAACCAGAACTATATGCCTGGCTCATGCCCCAAGAAACTTAACAATAGTATTCTAGGCATTTTGCTGCTGTAAGAGCAACAGCTGATGGCAGAATGTGATCCTGTCAGGTCAAGGAATTAATAGAGACTTTCCTTACTGAGGCAAGGAAGGAAGAGTACATTAGGATGCCCACACTAAACTTTAGAACTTCACTTTAGTTTATTATAGAAGATTTAATTCAGCACTGGCACTTGTGGTGTTTAATTTTAAGCCTATTTATCAGCTGCCTCCTGTCCTGAAACTATTGAACACTCTTGCAGGTGTGTGTATATGTCTATTTATTACTGTGGAAGCCCTGCTTCTCCCTCTTACAAAATCTGACACTTGGCAAATCCAACAAAATAAGCTGGGATCCAGGCTGTGTACTGCTTCCTTCAGAGGAGTGAACAGCCATGTCATAAACACTATGTGGCAGATAGGGTACTGCAGCTTTTGTCTAGCTAGGACAGGGAGGTTTCAAGAATGACTTTTTTTCTAATGAAATTTAGTGACATATTTGAGGTATAGTATTTGAACAAGATTACATCATTGGGGTGATTCATCACAGCTAGATTAGGAACAATTAAAATCAAAGCAACCCCTTTGGGGAGCTGATTATCATTCTGAGTTACTACTGATTGACTTAATTACCAACAAGCTTCACAAGGTTAGTTGAATACTTTAGTTCAATGAAAATGCAGAAAAATATCTACTTATTGGTTTTAAGCTGAGCAAGCAATCCTTAAGTGCACTGAGAACACACTCTCTAGACGCACACAATACACAAGAATCCTGCCAAAAGTTACTGCAAATTAAGTCCCCTGAAAATACCATCACTGTCCTCAATGATTTAAGTAAATACAATACTTGCTCTGTGCCTGAAGGTCAATCTCATTTTGATTAAGGCAATGGACAAAAGATGCTTGAATCAGGAAGAGAAGCACCCCACTTGCTTAAAATGCCATCGTATACTTTTGGACAGATCAGGAATTTTACAGTACCTGTCACCGTCATAATCTTGACTTTTTTTCAGTTTCTTTTGCACGAAACCTACTTGGAGTCTTGCATATGAATAAACATGCAAGAATAATAGAGCTGAAGAGACTAAAAAAACAACTAAATTCCAACTGTCTATCAGTAAAGGACAATTCTAATAAAAGCTTGTCTTCCTATTAAACTTTGCTTTAGAGGTAGAAGAAAAGGAGGGTGGTCTGGTTAAGATGCAACTCTGGGCTCTGCTACAATCTTAGTATGATTGCCATTCAAAACTGAGCCTCTATTCTACCTTTCACATCTACTATAACACTACTTGGCTTAGATTTTTACAAAGCACTGTAAACCAAGTATTTGGTTTTGATATTTCCAAATCAAAATTAATAAATACATCAATAATTTGTAACGGACATAAGTAAAGTTGTGAAAAAACCATAACAGTAATCATGAAAATTCTTTATCTTTTGCAATGAAAAAGTGAAAAAAATAAGCCCTAAAATGTTTCTCATCAATTTCTTTGATGCCAGGGAACCTGTTTGACTTTTGGCTAAACCTTACTTTTTATTTTATTAATATTACCTATCCAAAATGAATATAGATGCCCTTGCAGAAGTTCTATCTTGGTCCATGACTGTGGAACCACCTTCAAAAAAAAAAAAAAAAATGGGATTCCCACTGTGTGAAGCAGTAAAATGGCAAAGTACACAGGCAACAAACTTGTACTAGAAAGGAGAACTGGTAATTTAACATACATGCGTATTTTTACCAACATTAACTTTTCAGACTATATGCATTTCTGGCCTGAGCTACAGAGGAAATCTTGGTTTTCAGTTTTCAGTCTTTGTTTGGAGAAATGAACAAGGCTTTAACTTACAAACCTGTAATGCAACCGTGTGACAAATTCCTGCT